AACCCTAAGAAACTAGAAGTCAATCACAAGAAAAAATCCGGAAGAACCACAAATACATGAAAGTTAAATAACATGGTACAACACAATGAATGGGTCACCTAGGAAATCAAAGAATAAATAAAAAAGATACATGGAAACAAATGAAAATGAAAACACAAGGGTCCAAAACCTTTGGGATGCAGCAAAAGTGGTTCTAAGAGGGACGTTTATAGCAATACAGTCCCACCTCAATAAGTAAGACAACTCTCAAATAAAAAACCTAACCTTACACCCAAAAATGTTAGAAAAAGAACAAACAAAACCTAAAACCAGCAGAAGGAAGGAAAGAATGAAGATTATAGCAGAAATAAATGATACAGAAACTAAAACAAACAAACAATAGGCTAGATTAATGTAACCAGAAGGTGGATCTTTGAAAAAATCAATAAAACTGATAAACCTCTAATCATAAATGAGAGGGAGAAATAGCTATCAACACCAACAGAAATACAAACAATTATAAGAGAATATTATGAAAAACTATATGCCAACAAATTAAACCTGGAAGAAATGATTAAATTCCTAGAAACATGAAACCTACCAAAACTTAAACAGGAAGAAATAGAAAATTTGAACAGACTGAACACCAGTAAAGAAATTGAATTAGTAATCAAAAAACTCCCCACAAACAAAAGTCCAAGACCAGATGGCTTCACAGGTAAATTGTACCAAACATTTACAAAAGAGTTAATTCCTATTCTTCTCAAACTATTCCAAAACATAGAAGAGGAAGGAAAACTTCCAAATTCATTCTGAGGCAAGCATTACCCTAATACCAAAACTAGATAAAGACACCACAAAAAAAGAGAACTACAGGCCAATATCTCTGACGAACATTGATGCAAATATCTTCAACAAAATATGAGCAAACCACATCCAACAAGACATTAAAAAAAAATCATTTACCATGATCAAGTGGGATTTATTCCTGAGTTGCAAGGGTGGTTCAATATTCACAAAGCAACCAACATGATACATCACATAAATAAAAGAAAGGGTAAGAACCATATGATCATTTTAATAAATGCAGAAAAAGGCATTTGATAAAGTACAACATCCATTCATGACAAAAACCCTCAACAAAGCAGGTTTAGAGGGAACAAACCTCAACATAATAAAGGCCATACATGAAAAACCCACAGCTAGTATCATCCTCAGTGGGGACAAACCGAGAGCTTTCCCCTAACATCAGGAACAAGATAAGGATGTCCATTCTCACCACTCTTCTTCAACATAGTACTGGAAGTCCTAGCCTCAGCAATCAGACAACAAAACAAATAAAAGGCATCTAAATTGGTAAGGAAGAGGTAAAACTCACTCTTTACAGATGATATGATACTATATAGAGAAAACCAGAAAGACTCCACTAAAAATCTGCTAGAACTGATAAATGAATTCAGTACAGTCACAGGATACAAAATCAATGTACAGAAATCTGCTGCATTTCTATACACCAATAATGAAGCAGCAGAAAGAGAAATTAAGGAATCAATCCCATTTACAATTGCACCAAAAACAAAAGATACCTAGGAATAAACCTAAACAAAGAGGTGAAAGACCTGTAACCTGAAAACTATAAAATGCTGATGAAAGAAATGAAAGATGACACAAAGAAATGGAGAGACATTCCATGCTCATAGATTAGAAGAACAAATATTGTTAAAATGTTTATACTACACAAAGCAATCTACAGATTCAATGCAATCCCTATCAAAATACCACCAGCATTTTTAACAGAACTACAACAATACGAAAATTTGTATGGAACCACAAGAGACCCCGAATAGCCAAAGCAACCTTGAAAAAGAAAAGCGAAGCTGGAGGCATCACAGTTCCAGACTTCAAGTTATATTACAAAGCTATAATGATCAAGACAGTATGGTACTGACATAAAATAAATACATAGGTCAATAGAACAGAATAGAAAACCCAGCAATAAACCCACAATTATATGATCAATTAATCTTTGACAAAGCAGGAAAGAATATCCAATAGAAAAAAGACAGTCTCTTCAACAAATGATGTTGAGAAAACTGAACAGCAACATGCAAAAGAATGAAACTGGAAGGGGCACCTGGGTGGCTCAGTCAGGTAAGTGTCTGCCTTCAGCTCAGGTCATGATCCCAGAGTCCTGGGATTGAGCCCCACATCAGGTTCCCTGCTCAGTGGGGAGTCTGCTTCACCCTCTTCCTTTGCCCCTCCCCCTCTTCTCTCTCTCTCTCTCTCTCTCTCACTCTCACTCTCTCTCAAAATAAATAAAATCTTTTAAAAAAAAAAAGAGTGAAACTGGAAAACTTTCTTACACCATATATAAAAGTAAATTAAAAATGGATTAAAGACCTAAATGTGAGACCTGAAACCATAAAAATGCTAGAAGAGAACACAGCAATGATTTATTTGACATTGAATATAGCAACTTTTTTCTAGATAGCTCCCCTGAGGCAAGGGAAACAAAAGCAAACAAACTATTAGGACTAGAAATAAGTAGCTTCAGGGGCACCTGGCTGGCTCAGCTGGTAGAATGTGGGACTCTTAATCTCAGGGTTGTGAGTTCAAGCTTCATGTTGGGCGTGGAGCCTACTTAAAAAAAAAAAGGTAGGGGCACCTGGGTGGCTGAATCATTAAGCATCTGCCTTTGGCTCAGGTCATGATCCCAGGGTCCTGGGATACAGCCCCGCATCAGGCTCCCTGCTTAGCAGGAAGCCTGCTTCTCCCTCTCCCACTCCCCCTGCTTGTGTTCCCTCTCTCGCTGTGTCTCTCTCTGTCAAATAAATAAATAAAATCTTAAAAAAAAAAAGGACCTTGGGCGCCTGGGTGGCTCAGTTGGTTAAGCGACTGCCTTCGGCTCAGGTCATGATCCTGGAGTCCCAGGATCGAGTCCCGCATCGGGCTCCCTGCTCAGCAGGGAGTCTGCTTCTCCCTCTCCCACTCCCCGTTTGTGTTCCCTCTCTCGCTGTGTCTTTCTCTGTCAAATAAATAAATAAAATCTTTAAAAAAAAAAAAAAAAAAGGACCTTCTGCAGTGAAGGAAACCATCAACAAAACTAAAAGACAACCTAGGGAATAGAAGAAGATATTTGCAAATGACATACCTGATAAAGGATTGTATCCACAATATATAAAGAATTTATAAAACTCAACATCCAAATACAGATAGTCCAATTAAAAAATGGCAGAAGACCCAAATGGACATTTCTCCAAGGAGGACATACAGATGGCCCACAGACACATGAGGAGATGCTCATCATTACTTGCCATCAGGGAAATGCAAATCAAAACTACAATGAGATATCACCTCACACCTGTCAGAATGGCTAAAATAAAAATAAAAAAAAAACCACAAGAACCAATAGGTTTTGGTGAGGACATGGATAAAGGGTAACCCTCTTGCAGTGTTGGTGGAGTGCAGACTGGATCAGCCACTATGAAAAACTGTACAGAGTTTCCTCAAAAAGTTAAAGTTAAAACTACCCTACTATCCATCAATCACACTATTGGGTATTTATCCAAAGAATACAAAAACACTAATTCAAAGGGATATATGCACCCTTATGTTATAGCAGTATTATTTACAAAAGCCAAGATATAGAAGCAGCCCATTATCAAGTGTCCATCAATTGACAGATGGAATATTATTCAGCCATTAAAAAGAATGAAATCTTGCCATTTGCAATGAAATGGATGGAGCAGGACAGTATAATGCTAAGTGAAATAAGTCAGCCAGAGAAAGACAAATACTAAAGGATTTCACTCATCTGCATAATTTAAGAACAAAACAAATAAGCAAAGAGAAAGAGAGAGAGGCGAACCAAGAACTGGGCTCTTACCTATAGAGAACAAGCAGGTGTTTACCAGATGGGAGGGGGGCCGAGGGATGGGTGAAATAGGTGATGGGGATTAAGGAGCACACTTGTCATAATGAACACAAGGTGATTAAAATTAAAATTTTTAAAAAGAATAAAACACATTTGCGTGAGTGAGCTATGAAATAAAAAAAAAAAAATCAACATTTCTCTAGTGTCCCAAGTTTTAAATCCTTTAATTCAATAAAGATTGTTCAAAATTTTATGTAAATTGTCTACTGAATTACTGATTAGTGTGACAGAATGCCCCTCCCACAACTATGTGCTCAGTGCCTGGGCCAATTTCTCTATTCCCAGGTAAATCCAAGAGGGTTTACCCTTCCTTACTGTTTTTGAAAATGATTTCCCTGCCAAAGAGCTAAAACAATTGTCCTATGCTCAGTCCTCAGATGTGTGAGTTATATACCTTTTTATATACTTCTCTCATAATGGTGGGTATGGCAATGTTACTGTTTTTCAGTTTTAAATATCTTATAATGAATAGATAGTATGGTAATAAATAAAAACATATCTGTGAGTGTACGTGAATATATCTGTAGGGTACACCTTTAGGTCAAGTGAGTCAGCCTAAGTCCCAAGATTTTGCCAGTAAACCACAAACAAAAATAACACAAAGTTTGTTATTCTCTCTCACCATTAATCTGCAGGAAAAAATTCCAGTATATTTAGCATGATTCACCTACACTTAAAATTGTAAAAAGCTTTGGGGCGCCTGGGTGGCTCAGTCGTTGGGCATCTGCCTTCAGCTCAGGTCATGATCCCAGGGTCCTGGGATCGAGCCCCGCATCGGGCTCCCTGCTCCATGGGGGACCTGCTTCTCCCTCTCCCACTCCCCCTGCTTGTGTTCCTGCTCTCGCTATCTCTCTGTCAAATAAATAAATAAACTCTTTAAAAAAAATTGTAAAAAGCTTTGCCCTAGAATTCATTAGGTTCATCCATTAGATACAGATGTATAGGTAGATACAGAAATAGGGCTAGAAGTAGAGGTAGAAATGAAAGAGAAAGATGGAGACACAGACAGGAATGCAGACATGGACACAGAAAGGTAGAAGTAGAAAGATTAGAGGGGGACAGATAGGTGAAGATGGATAAAACATACCTGTTGTCCTGGACTAGTCCTGTCAAGGAACCATGTTTATAGAAATCAAGTGCATAAGCATTAAGTGGCATTCTTCTTCCTTGGTCATCCAAGATCTCTGACCACAGCACAGGAGCCTGAGTGTGATTGATACCAATTGTGCGTAGAACGACCTGAAGAAACACAACTCTTTTCGTTATTTATGTGTAAAGAAAGTTTTTGGTTTCTTGCATTGTGCTTTGTGGTTCCTTTCTTTATTCAACTTTTCTGAAGCACACTCTTCGTGATGAAGGAAGAGGGTGTCTTTCATACACACTGGGTTGGTGCTGTCCTAAGAAAGTCTGGAGGATGACTTGGTACCACCTATGAGCATTATTGCCTCTTAGCATACTCTTGGCAATTTCAACCGTCCAGCCATGAGAAAAATAACAAGAGTCACTAGGAAAGAAAAGTTAACTTTAATTATTTTTCATTATCCTAATTGGTATAGGAGATACCTTGTAAACAGAGCATCAGAGAGCTTGTGCCTTGTACATCTCAAGAGAAGAGTTCAACTGAGCAACTCTAACCATTGCAAGAACCCAATCACCAGAATAAAAAGGGAAGGGAGAGAGATATAGGGGGAAAGAGAAGGAAAGTAAGAATAGGAAGTTAACAAGTCAATAGCTTTTGATGTCTGCTCATTTTATGAAAACTATACAGGGTCAATAGGAACTACTCTAACACACTAATTGGTACAACTACTTTCTCAAATGATTTGGTAGTAGTGTGGAAAGCTCTTTTATTACTATAAGTTCTTGGAATATTCTTATTCCGTTATGATCCAGAAAACTGTTTTGACCTCAAAAGTCCAGAAGATTTACATTCAAGGGAAACTGTTGCACATGTGCACTAGACATTTGTAGCAGGCCTGTTTGTAACAGTAAAGACTAAAAACAAACACAGTTTAAGAGGAAACTAGATCAATGGCTTGTTTTATATCCACATTCTGAAATAATATGAAGTAGTAAAAATAAAATACAGCTTCATGTGACAACATGAATGAATCTTGGGAGCAGAGTATTGAGTGCAAAAAGCAAAACAAAACAAAAGCAAAAAACAACACAAAAGCAAAAAACAACATCCAGGAGACTACAGTAAGTGTTCTTTTACTTTTTATAAAAATCAAAAGCAGCAAATATAAAAAGTGACTTTGGAATATGATGTTTTTTAAAGGTGAATTAAAAACACAAAATTCAGGGTAATTGATATCCTGGGGAAAGAGGAGAGACAAGGGAATAAAATAGAGGAGGGTCCTGAGTCCATGGGTGTTCATTTTAGTTTTATGCTTTATAGCTTATCTGTATGTTATTTAAAGATAATATGAATGCTTATTTAGCATTACATTAAAATGTAACAAATAATAAAAGCAAAATAAGTTTTGAGAGGTTATAACTTACACTAGTAACGTAAAATTGTATAAAGTGATTTGGGTAAGACAAAGGGCATATTGCCATCAAGGCATACTTTAGAAATACTCGTCAGTGCAGGATGCTACAAAATGAATGAAATAGAACCAGCCTCTTCTCTCTAGCACACCAGCAGGAACAATGAAAAGCCTGTATTAGGTCATGCCCTGTACCTAGAGATATCTTCTAATTGATGGTCACTGTGTGGCAATAAGACGCAGACATTATATCCTATTATAACTATATCAGTGTCCCTCGAAAACCCCATGGAAAATTTTGCATGTGGAAAGGAAACAAAAGTTAATGGTACCTACTAACCATAAGTTGAATTAATTGTAAAATAGAGAAAAATAAATTATAATACTTAATTAATATGTCTTGTCTTCAATGTGATTACCTACAAACTTCTTACATAAGTAATTAATTGCAATTATAGAAATAAAATACAGGAAAAAAAGCTTCATAAAATTATTGATCTTATAAGCTAAAGTTCAGTCCTCTATTATTTCTATGCCAGAATTTGACATTCTTCCACATTCTGTAAGACACCACTCACATGAGAGTAAAGAACTAGCCTTAGAGAGCTTCACATAAGACCTGGAGCAGTTATCTATAAGTAATTTTTAAGCCATGTACGTTATCAGTAAAAAAAAAAAAAAAAAAAATCCGTTCTCATTTCTTCTTTCATGAATGCTTTTCTCTCCTTTTATAAAACAAAAAGCTTCCTCAAACTTACTTGGGGTTTGAAAATGTACAAAGTAGCAACAAAAAGCCATACTGCTTTCCTATTAAGAAAGTGGATGACTTTAAAGATTATGTAAAAAAACAATTTTTTTCTTTTAAGTTAGGTTGTTTCCAATTACTTGAATTCAACAAAATTAAAGTGCATCTAATTAAGTTGCTAATTAAGAGAACATTAAAAATATATTTGTGATAATAGTCTGGTAGGTGATTTGGGGCAAACAGTTCAGAAGAAATTAGAAGAATTGTGTATCACTGTTAGAAAAGTTGTTCCGTTCTGAACTACTTATCTATTTGAATAAAGTTTCTCAACATTCAAATTAAAATTTAAAGTGGAACTCTGTCTCATTCTAAAAATAAGTAAATATTCATTCTTAGTTATATGAACTAATTTAAAAATAAATAGCTTCATCCATCCCATTAATGTATACATTTCTAATACAAAATTAATTTTATTTTAGTCATTACTTCTCAAAATTTGTATTATAAGGTTTTGTAATTAGCAGGAAATAACCTGTTGCATACTATTGAAATTGCATACTATTTAAATTGAAATTGCATACTATCTAAGCTAAGAAATGTGATAGATAGGGTGGCTTCATGTTTAAAAATATATTACATTGAGGTCAAATTATGTGGGGGAGTGTATAATCTAAATACAAGAGAAAAGAACAGTGCCAAATTTTAAATCATTGGAAATTTTATTCTTGACTGTTTTAACTTCATAATTATGGGTATTCAAGTGTTTCGGTATTCATATTCCATTTTATACATTAAAAATGATATGATGGCTTTATTTTAAAATATCAACATTTATCTGAAGCTGGAAATTATATCATCAGAAATTATTTGAATTTGTGATAAAAATGTATGTGTCCATTCAAAATGCACAAGGGTCTAATATTTAGTTTTTCAAAACTCTTTTAAGTGATACTGGACTATTTTATATAATAGAGGACTGTCTGATTTTGGACTAGAATAGAGTTGAAACTCTAGTGTCAAACCATAATATCAAATATAACAAAACTTATTTTCTTTCTCAAACTTTGTGTTAAAATATAAATTAAATTTCTATAAGTTTATTACAACATTCAGTGAATTATCCAGCATATTCCCAATGTGTCTAGGTCTTTGTACTCCATTTTGGACATCAGTGATCCAGAACATATATGGGATTTACAGCATTTATGGCAATACCAGGAAAGCCTGAAGATAGTTGTATGCTCTTTCCATAGCAAACTTGCATCAAACTACAAAGATGGAAGAAAAGTGGTGGTACTTGGGAATTCTGTGGAGCAGAATGGAGCAGGGTCCCTCAGGTCAACACTGAAAAACTGAAACCATACTGGCCTCAAGAGTACCATTTCCTGGATATTTCTGTTCATACACCTGGAATTTTGTTTTCAATTTGAGAAATTTGAAATCCTTTCTAAACAGCCTAGAAGCATAAATCCAATTCTTTCTTAAAGATCTTTTATTTATAAACCCCATTTCCACTTACATGGTTCGGAGTATTTGGTAGAAGCAAATCACCATCAGAGTTTCCGGAGAGACAAACAAATGGAGAAATAGCTGCTCTTCCTTCTTTGCAGTTCATCAAATGAGAAACCAGTTCAGAGCCCTCACATTCTTTTCCTGTGAAATCTGTCCATAATAGGTTGGGATAGATTAGTTTTTAAAAATCAGCCAAATTGTTACGCTTTATGCACAGACTCTAGACCATGCTACAAATGAAGTCATTCAAATTTCCAGGACCTATATCAGACCAGATGAGATATATCACATAAAGTGCATAGCATGGGGCGCCTGGGTGGCTCAGTTGGTTAGGTGACTGCCTTCGGCTCAGGTCATGATCCTGGAGTCCCGGGATCGAGTCCCGCATCAGGCTCCCTGCTCGGCAGGGAGTCTGCTTCTCCCTCTGACCCTCCCCCCTCTCATGTGCTCTCTCTCATTCTCTCTCTCAAATAAATAAATAAAATCTTAAAAAAAAAAAAAGTGCATAGCATGGGACACCTGGGTGGCTCAGTGGGTTAAGCATCTGCCTTCTGCTCAGGTCATGATCTCAGGGTCCTGGGATCAAGTCCCACGTCGGGCTCCCACTCAGCGGGGAGCCTGCTTCTCCCTCTGCCTGTAGCTCCCCCTGCTTGTACTCTCTCTCTCTCTCTGACAAATAAATAACTAAAATCTTTAAAAAAAAAAAAAGTGAGTAGCACATCTTGGCACAGAATACATTCAATAAATGTTAGCTATTAATATTATCAGTATTATAAAATTTTGTATGATGTTTTAGTTCCTTGATCAACAGGTAATAAAAGACTACATCTAGATTGCATGCTTTTAACATAGAATTATTGTTATTACCTTGGTGCTTTTCCCACTGACTTCAGATCTGGCCTCACAATCCTTCCAGACAGGGTATTCTAAGAGGCCACTATCAGTAGGTTTGGAAATGGCATACAAGAAGAAATATTTTTTTCCATTCCTACTTTTTTTTTAATATTTTATTTATTTGAGAGAGAGGGAGAGAGAGCACAAGCAGGGGGAGGGGCAGAGGGAGAAGCAGACTCCCACTGAGCAGGGAGCCCAACATGGGGCGCCATCCCTGGACTCCGGGATCATGATCTGAGCGAAAGGCAGACACTTAACCGACTGAGCCACCCAGGGGCCCCCTCCATTCCTACTCTTAAAAAGCACCAGATTGTGCATTCAAAGGTGGCTCTAATTTGTAATGAAGGCACTCCTATTTTGCCTCCTCTGGGATGCTCACAATGCTCTACTGTTACTGTTTGCTTTTGTTCATGCTGTTTCCCACTTTAATAGGGCCCAGGAAGTAAGAGGCTCTGCTTCCTTAACTTTTTCCAATTGAGGATGTTGGGGTATAATGAAATTAGGAAATTACTACCCATGGCTCAACCCTTTCCTTTTATCCCAGTCAGTTTTTCCTGTTTACTTTTCCCTAGAAGATTTCTATCCAATACCTTACGAAAAATAAGAGCAAAGTTAATGTGTTTACTATGTGCTAGGTACTGTTTTAAGATATTCACATATATTAACTGAATTATTTAAAGCTCACCCAAACTAGGTTTGTAATGCTATTCTCTTTTTTATACATCTTTTGAGAAAATTGAGGCATGAGTAAGGAATATTGCCCAAGGTCTCACTTCTAAGAATAGCAGAACCAGAGTTTGGGCCCCGGTAATCTTCCAAGAGTCTATACATATTTCCTCTCAAGAAAATGAGTGATAGAATGGTCTCTCATTTATCTTCACTCCATAAATGCCCTTCCTGCACTTGCCAGGCTTGCCCCAAAAGCAACCTTTAATCAAGATGGTTTATAAATGACTCTCTTTAGTTTTATTCTCCATTGCCCTTTTGACTTCTAAAAACCAAGAGTTTCTTTCTTTGAAAGCAGAAGGAATTCTCCTTTTTTAAGGCAGACTGATCTTTCCCAGGCTCTACTCTTCCTCTGGGAAAAATATTCTTAGATTATTTTTTCTTTAAATCGTTCCACAGTGGAGTTAAGATATACTTACTTATTTTTGACAATGGGAGTTGATATTCCTGTTTCATATCAGCCAATTTGGCAACATTTAGTAGGAAGGAGGCAAAGTCCTTTGTAACGTCCATGTTATACTCACGTAAAGCATCATTAAAATCCTTAGGGAGATCGTCAAGGAACACCTAAATCATCAGAGAGATCATTAAGAACTCCGGAAAGCCAAATATTTTTTTAGAGACATCTGTATACCTTCTTTGAAAACTGAAACTTTGGAAGAATGGCAAAGAACACTGCACTATAATTCTGTAGTTACCTATTTATTCAATAATGTAATTGTTTCATTCCTTCATCCGTGAAATTGAAGTAAAGTTCATTTTTTGTTTCTATGTGCATTTATAAAAAATAGTATCCTCACTCTTAAAAATTTGCTTTCAGGGCGCCTGGGTGGCTCAGTTGGTTAAGCGACTGCCTTCGGCTCAGGTCATGATCCTGGAGTCCCGGGATCGAGTCCCACATCGGGCTCCCTGCTCAGCGGGGAGTCTGCTTCTCCCTCTGGCCCTCCCCCCTCTCATGTGCTCTCTCTCTCTCATTCTCTCTGTCTCAAATAAATAAAATCTTAAAAAAAAAAGAGCCTTTTAAAAAAAAAAATTTGCTTTCACATTACTTAACCAACACCATCTTTTTTCTTTTTTAATGTTTTTATTTAAATTCCAGTATAGTTAACATCCTGTGTAATGTTAGTGTCAAGTGTACAGTATAGTGATTCAACACTTCCATACAACACTGAGTGCTCATCATAAGTGCACTTTTTCCTTTTTTGTGGGAAAGTTTTTAAAATAACTGACCACAATTCTTTAATAGATACCAGACACAGGACTTTTTATATCTTCCTTGGTTAGTTTGGAAGGTTGCATTTTCTAGGAATTTTCCCATTTTGTCCAAATAACCAAGTGTATTGGCATAAATCATTCATAATATCCTCTTTTGTTCTTTTCAATAGTCGTTAATTAACGACTGAGCCACCCAGGTGTCCCTTATGTTAGATTTTCTATTTGTTTTGTTTTCCTAGCTTCTTAGGCTGAAAAATTAAATCATTGATTTTTTTCAGCTTGTATTCTTTTCTAAGATATGATTATAAGGCTATAAATTTTGCTCTAATCATTGTATGAATTACATCTTGTATTTGTATATTTATTATTGTTTAATTAAAATATTTTATAATTCCATTTTATTTTCATCCTATATGTATTTTTCCTAATTTTTTAATTTTCTTTTTTAAGAATTCTATTTATATTCAAAAGGTATTTTATTACAGTGAGCACTACAAGTACAAATTTAAAAAAAAAATCAGTGTTACAAGGCTTACAACGACTAATCAGGGCTCTCTTACCACCCATGCCCTTAGTCCCAGAACCATGTTAAAGTCTTTTGCTATTTCTTCTGGTGACCTATATGTATTTAGAAATGAAGCTACCTAATTTTCAGGCAAGTATTTCCGGTAAGTATTTAGCTGGCATATCTCTTTTTCTATCATTTTACTTTCAACCTTTCTGGGACCTTATGGCTAAGATGTGATTTGTACAAACAGCATATAATTGTGGGTTTTTTCTTAATAATATCTAAAAATGTTAGTATTTTACCTGAAGTATTTAGTACATATATATTCAATGCAGTTACTTATACAGTTGAGTTTATATATACTATTTTAGTATTCAGTTTCTATCCCAACCATATATTATATATTATTTTCTATGTTCTTGTATTTTATCAGTTTTTCTTCTATTAACACTTATTTGTGCACTATTTTGCTAGTCTTTATCCCAGAGAATACAAAATACATCTTTAATTTTTACAACTCTTAATAGTGTAAGAACCTTAAAATATTCAAATATATTTACCCTTCCCAACACTTGCATTATGACCATCATGCATTTTAGTTATGTATATATATTATAGATTTCATAATACACTATAATTATTTTTAGATACAGTAGATATTTATTTATATCTACCCACATTATCCTTTCTAGTATACTTCTTGCCCTGTTACATTTTCAATTCTCCCAAGTTTAGAATTTTTTTGTCTGCCTACAATATATGATATTCCCTTTAGCACATACACAAGAAACTGTCAGAACAATATCAGCAAAGTTGGAGGATACAAAATCAACATAAAAAAATAGTTGGTTTCTATACATTAAATAAGTATCTGAAAAGAATATTAGGACAATCTCATTTGTAATAGCATCAAAAAGAATAGAATATTTAGCTATAACTTAACCAAGGAGGTGAAAGATCTCTATATTAAAAAGTATAAAACACTCATGAACGAAATTATAGCAGACACAAATAATGCAAAGGCATGCCATACTATTAAGATGTCAAAACTATCCAAATGGATCTACATGTTCTTTGCAATTCCTATCAAAATCTCATGGCATTTTTTACAGAAACATAAAAATCAATCCCAAAATTCATATGGAATCACAAAAGACCCTGAATAGTCAAAATAATCTTGAGGGGGGAAAAAGAAACAAATCCAGAGGCATTACATTTCTTAATTTTAAAATATATTACAAAGTTACACTAATTAAAACAGTATTGTACCAGTATCATGAAAGACATATAGACTAATGGAACAAAAGAGAGTCCAGAAATAAATCCAAGTATATATGGTCAAAAGATCTTTGACAAGGGTGCCAAGAACACACAGTGGGGAAAGGATAATCTCTTCAACAAATGGTGTTGGCAAAATTTGATATACACATGTAAAAGAATGATATTGACCCTTACCACACACTGCACATAAAAATAAACTCAAATGCATTAAAGACTTAAATGTAAGACCTGAAACTGTAAAATTCATAAAAGAAAATATAAAGACATTGATCTTGGAAATTATTTTTTTTTATATGACACCAGAAGCACAGGCAACAAAAATGAAAATAAACAAGTAGGACTAAATCAACCTAAAAAGCTTCTGCACAGCAAAGGAAATAATAAAGTGAAAAGGCATTTCCAGAATGAGAGAAAATATTTCTAAGCCACCTATCTGGTAAGGGGATAATATCCAAATATATATAAGAATCTTCTACAACTCAATAGCAAAAAATCAAAAAAATGGGCAAAGGACTTGATTAGACATTTCTCCAAAGAAGTCATGCAAATGGCCACCATGTGTATTAAAAGTTGCTCAACTGCACTAATCATTCGGGAAATGCAGATGAAGGCCACATGAGATATTGTCTCCTACCTGTTAGTATGGGTATTATCAAAAAATCAAAAAGGTAAGTGTTGAGGAGAATATAGAAAAATTAGAATCCCTATGCACTTTTGGTGGAAACGTACACTGGTGCAGCTACTATGGAAAACATGTGGAGTTTTTTCAAAAAATTAAAAATAGAACTACTATATGATGCAGCAATCCCATTCTGATGTATATATCCAAAAGAATTGAAATAAGGATCTTGAAGAGATATCTGTCCCCCCATGTTCACTGCAAAATTGTTCACAATAAGCAAGATATGGAAACAAACCAAATGTCCATCAACAGATGAACGGATAAGGTAATGTGGTATATACATACAACAGAATATTATTCCATCTTGAAAAGGAAGAAAATCTTTCCATTTGCAACAACATGGATGAACCTAGAGGATATTATGCTAAGTAAAATAAGCCAGTCACAGAAGGAGAAGTAATTCATGATTTCATGTAATGGAATTTATATCTTATAAATTCTACTTATATTCCACTCATATCTTAAATAGTCAAACTCATAGAAGCAGAGACTAGAATGATGACTGCCAGGGCCTGGGTGGAGGAAGAAATGGGGAATTGTTTTTCATTGGATATAAAGTTTCTGTTATGCAAGATAAATAAATTCTAGAGACCTACTGTACAACAAAGTACCTATAGTTAACAATACAATATTGTAAACTTTAAAATACATAAAGAGGATAAATCTCATGTTAAGTGTTCCGACCAAAAAAAAAAAAAAAAAAAGGAAAAAGCCACCTCACACACAAGGAATATGGGATGTGATAAATATGTTTAGTACCTTGGTTGTAGTGATGATATCATGGGTATATGCATATGTCCAAACTCATTAAGACATATACATTAAATGTGTGCAATTCCTTGTATATCAATTACACCTCAATAACAATAAAGCTAAAAAAGGTAGATATATGCATACCCTCCTGATATGTTATTAAATCAATCATAATATATTTATTCTATTTTAAATTATGTTTAAAACATATTCAAAATATACGTAACATATTTATGTACGAAAATAGAGTAGGATGAAATTATTGCCCATTTTTTTCTAGCTTCAGTTATTTTGGTTAAAAAGTCAGCTATCAATATTACTGCTTTTTTTTCAAGGAAATGCCTGTTTCAGCTCTAGCTGGTTTATGATTTTCTCTTTGTTTTTGACTTTCAGTAGTTTTAGTTTAATGTTCATATTTATCCATTTATTTATTTTATATTTGGGGGTTTTTTCACCATAAATTGTTTACAAAAGGACCTGATGAGCTTCAAATGATGTTATCTTCCACCAGAGTGAGTTCTCCCATTTTTTTGTTTGGTTACATGATTGAAGATGTGATCACTTCAGTCCAAGTAGAGACTAAAGTGGTACTGTTGGTATTGCTGGTATTGTTTTCCAGTTTTATTAAGTTCCAGTCTATACCTGATATAACTCTATTCCTGGGTCATGACCCTTTTGGACTTTGAGTATGAGACTGGTGGGTCTCGTTTTCTCAGTCCTAAAAGACTTCCAAAGATCTTCCTTTTTCCTACAGAGCTTTCTAAACCTTCTACATCTTCCAGCTCTAAAGCTTTCAAAAATGTCTTCAGGGGCATAAATAAATGCAGAACCTTCCTTCTAATGGCTTTTTACTTAATAATTGCCACAAGACTGCAAAAAATTTGGTGTGGTACTCCAACATTGCATGCAGATCTGGTACTCAGTAAACATCCTCAGTAAACTCATAGAAACACTATGCCTCCCAAGTTTCTGTCACTCTAGTCCCATGTGGTCACTAAAAGCTTTAATAATTTTTTTAATCTCATAGAAGAGGCTCTCTGTATATGCTAAGTACAATTTTCAAACCATGTCCAGAATCAACAAATTCTTTGTGAGGAAACCACGATTAAAGATTCCCATCACACCATTAGTAAGTTCTTGCCATTTTACAATTTTAGCCAGCCAAATCCCCATTGTTTCCACAGCTTTCTGTTGCAATACGAATGATAACCACTTACTATATCCATCTGGAAGCACACAAATTTCCAATAACCTTTAAAAAAGAGAGAGAGAAAGAAACTGACAGAGAGGGGCACCTGGGTGGCTCAGTTGGTTAAGCGACTGCCTTCGGCTCAGGTCATGATCCTGGAGTCCCGGGATCGAGTCCCGCATCGGGCTCCCTGCTCGGCAGGGAGCCTGCTTCTGCCTCTGACCCTCCCCCCTCTCATGTGCTCTCTCTCTCTCATTCTCTCTGTCTCAAATAAATAAATAAATAAATCTTTAAAAAAAAAAAAAAAGAAACTGACAGAGAGTAAGAAAGACAGGAGGCCCCCACACAAAACCTTCCTTTACTGTATATTTTTATGATGTCTTTCTTTGTGAGAATTTAGATACTGACTTTTCTAAGTTAAATATAAATTATTTAAAAAAACAAATAATACTTCAAGAATTTACATGTAATGAAAAAATGTGAAGATGATAGGTCAATGACTAAAGTTGTGTTCACTGGTCAAGAGAACATTCTGTGAGGGCTAAGATTTGTAATTTGACATTGTGGAGTTAACAATATAGATTAACTCATCTCTTTTTGTTCCTTGTCACATTTTACTAAGGTTATTTAGTATAACCTGCCTATCCCATTTTCTCAGATTCTAGTGGGGTATATTAGTAACAGTATTGATGTTGATTTAATAATAGCAAATCCTGATCAAAGAATATGTTGCAAATAAAATTGGAAAAGAGTTTTCCTGCTTTTATTCTATGTGGGTCAAGGAATTATTTCTTCAATGACTATTCTAATATTTTTTCAGTGAGGACATTATAGTTCACAACATATGCTTTTTGCCTGTAGCCCTACCTCAAGGTAAAAAGACCCTAAGGGAACTACATATTCAATGATAGGAACTATTAGTTCATTTATTGTATAAATATCTACATTTTTTTCTCTAGCCACTGAATACTATAATTTGATAGAGTCATACAATCAAATGGAAAACATGAGCAAAATTCTTATTTTTCCTCAAGAAATTTAATCTCTTGATATATTTATATGGAGAGGCTTATGAATTAGAGGTTAAATATAACAGCGATTACAGAAAGAACAAACTATTATTCTATAAAACAAATGAACCCTATATTGATAAAATCCTACTGCCACTGAATCATTTATGGTAGGATCTACTTAATTACATTGATTAATGTTATTAGAAGCATAAATTTTACCTTTGATTGATAAAACTTGACAGTAGTCTCCTGGAACTTTGCTGGAAGAGGTCTTCTTCCAAACAGATTTGCCAAGACTAACAACAGCTTTTCCATAACATCTTGAGAAAAATGTTTTGAGCCTATACAAAACAAAGTGCCTTGTTTAAATGTAAAAAAGTGTGTCAATCCCATTTTCAACATTTAAATTGAATGTTATACTGCATTTCATTTCATGGAAACTGAAAATATGTGACAAATACAGCAACCAAGGAATGACTATATCTGCTGACAGTTTACATCTGTGCCTTCTTTTTCATTCTTGCTACTCCCACGCTAGTTCGGACCAAAATCATTCCAACCACAAATTGCCTCATCTCCTTACTGGATTCTACCCCCCCCCCCACGCCCCTCCAACTTCAGGCTATGACCAGTTTTCCTAAAGCATTTTATGATCATATCTTTCACCCATTCAAAAATCTCTGATTGCATCTCAATGCCTCATAAACAAAATCCAATCTCCCCAGCCCAGCATTTAAGGCTTTCCAAAATTCAGCCCACAAATAACCTCCCAGCCTTATCTCCCTGTCTTACCTTCTTGTCACTCATATTAAGATACCATCAACTTGACTTATTTTCTGTCTTTCACAACACATGAGCATTACACTGCAGTGATTAAAAAGGTCACACCTTTTATAACTTGGGCTCTAGAGTCAGACTACTTATATTTGAATCTTGGCTCTGACACTTATTAAAATTGTGTGACCATGGCAATTTATTTAACTTCTCTGTGTCTGAGTTTCCTTACTTACAAAAGAGTGATAGTCCATATTATGTGCCTCATAAAGTTATCAAATTTTCTATATCCATGATTATAATAGCTTACACCCTCCCACCCCACCCACACCCATACAGCAATGAACATAACTGTACTTCCTGTTGCAGGAAATTATTTCTCCTCTTACAGAGTTTTTAGGGGGACAGAATTTCCTGAGTATTCTTGTTTCACAGAACAATGCATGTTCAGAGCATAGTGACTGGACCTATTGCACAAAGTAAAGTGTTGCTGCTATCAGTTCATGACAGAAGATAAAGAAATGCTGTGAAAGGCACTGTATTTGCCAGGCAGTAGGAAATATAACAAATTTAAGCACCAAAAGGAAAACATTTCTTATGGGGACACTGTTTAAGGGTCTATGGTTTAATTATAAAAATCAAAGTTTTTAATTTTAAAAATGTATTAAACGGAATATTAGGCAGGCATTTAAAAGGAATTCACAAAAAGTTTACATGATATTGGCAAAACTATATTTCAGGGAAAACAAGATTCTAGATTATGCAATTAATGTATCAGTTATTTAAAAATACTATATAGTTATATTCTAAGAAAATATGATTGGAAGAAAATACTCACAAATACTAATGGTGAACATTATATTTAACATAATGCCTTCCTATATCCCTTTTCTATGATGAGCACATATTACATATAATTAAGAAAAAATATTTATTAAAAAATCATATATTTTTTAATTATGTTCTGAGTCCTGGAGTCCATAGATCACTAAAGTTCATAAGAAACTGACATTTTAAAATAGGTGTCACAAAATACGGTTGTCTCCCATATGATCTATATTAATAGGTATACAAAACTTTATTTTATCCAATTTCGTATCTCTAAATTATCTAAATATTAACTTGTGTTTTCTTTGTAGAAAAAATTTTCCTAAGTGCTAGCTTCACTATAGTCTCTGTTACTCTTTTAAGATTATACACACAAACATCAAGCTTACCTTCCCTAGTTGGCTGACAGAGATTATGGAAAAGGCCTTTTACAAGAAAACTGACAAAAACAAGATTAGAAGGCTCATGATAATGCAAATGTGATACAAGTCCAGCAAACCCCATTGGTTTACCTTCTTGATCTAAATAGCCCTAAAAAACAAAAATAATTTATTAGTTTGACTCAATACATCCATTAATTAATAACTCACTTATTAAGAGCTAGTTTAAAACAGTATTTAATGCCAGTATAAGAGAGATTGGTAATCGTTACCTGGCCCAGTTGCGATAATTATATCAAGTAAAGAAATATTCATCATTGAATATAACCTTCTAAAGACCACAATTAATTCAGCATGATAAAAAATAAAGATAGTACCATTCCTATTTCACAAAAAGACAAAGGACAATCATACCTGTTTCACAAGGAATTGCAAAGAAAACAAGAAATAAAGTTTTAATATCTTCATGACTCTGGGTTTTTTGAAGGACAGCAATGAATGCTTTAGCACTGACAGCACCTTTAAAGAAGAATAATTCACATCATGTTAGTTTTATGAAATATATTTTTAAATAATAATATAGGTATATTATAATTTTAAATTTTTTCTTATGATGTTTTGACATCTTAAAAAAACCTTTTTGAGAAAAACAAACAAACAAAAAACTTTTCTGGTTGGGAAGAGACTGTCCCTTCCCAGGCTAGCTAAATCCTAAAGATAACAACAACTTGCCTAAAAGCATGCCTATCATATACAAACCAACCAATCCCAAGTTTATACCCCCAACTACTTCCTTCCCTAATTCTCACACATCTAGCCAATACTTCTTGTGTCCTAAATCATCCCAGAGCAAGGTCCCAGGCAACAAGAGGCCACCTGCACAGCCCAAAACCCAGCAGAATTATTCAAACTAGCCCGTCCGGGGCGCCTGGGTGGCTCAGTCATTAAGCATCTGCCTTTGGCTCAGGTCATGATCCCAGGATCCTGGGATCGAGCCCTGCATCAGGCTCCCTGCTCAGCGGGAAGCCTGCTTCTCCCTCTCCCGGTCCCCCTGCTTGTGTTCCCTCTCTCGCTGCGTCTCTCTCTGTCAAATAAATAAATAATCTTTAAAAAAAATAAAAAATAAATAAACAAACTAGCCCATTCTTAACTGCTTACTCTGCCCTGTCTTGCCTTTTCCATAGAAACTATAATAAAGGCAGGTCACCTAAACCTTCCTACAGCTCCTATCTTTCTCCTGCTGACCAGCCTGGTACCCTTCACATATAGTCCCACATAGTGTGCCCTGACTCCTGTCTCTGAGGCTTATACTTTATTCTCCTGAAATTTACCTCTGTCTCCTCCCGTCGCTGCACCTATCACATAAAAGAATATAAAACAATAGGATAGATATTACCCATATCTATTATACCACACAGATTCCTGCAATATATAAGATTCAGTTAAATTTCAAATTATTTGCTTTACCATCTTCTTACATGGCACAACCTTCCTTTAACAAATAGAACATATAAAACAGAATCATCAGAAATGAAACATATTGCCAAAAATTCTGATAATGAATGTGAACCCAGTTTAAGAGCTTACAGCTCTAGGTTTATTCTAGAGAAAAACAAGATATGCTATTGCATTCCCTGCAGTGTTGTGGCAAAAATAATAGAACTAGGTTGATTAAAACAAGAGTAATAAAAATATTGCTTGGTTGCGGCACCTGGGTGGCTCAGTCATTAAGCATCTGCCTTCGGCTCAGGTCATGATCTCAGGGTCCTGGGATCAATCCCTGTGTCAGGCTCCATGCTTAGTGGGGAGTCTGTTTGAGGATTTCTGTCCCTCTCCTTCCGCCCCTCCCCCGCTCATGCGCTCTCTCTCTCTCTCTCTCTCTCTCTCTAAAATAGATAAGTCTTTAAAAAGAGAAAAAGAGGGGCGCCTGGGTGGCTCAGTCGTTAAGCGTCTGCCTTCAGCTCAGGTCATGATCCCAGGGTCCTGGGATCGAGCCCCACATCGGGCTCCCTGCTCTGTGGGAAGCCTGCTTCTCCTTCTCTCACTCCCCCTGCTTGTGTTCCCTCTCTCGCTGTGTCTCTCTCTGTCAAATAAATAAGTAATCTTTTAAAAAAATATTGCTTGGTTTTTGGGGTAAAACAGCACTGAGATAGCAGTTCAGATAACCTTTTAGCTGCCCACTAAAACATCTATGAGGTTCTAATAAAAGGAAAATTTCCTGACATCACCAAATTTAAGCCTGGCTACCATTAGGCCTGAGAGTTTGTAGAACCTGGGAAGAGTCTGTACTCATTGTAAGGCCAATGGACAATGTAAAAAGAAGGTGGGAGGATACAGATGAGAAAAAGAAGGGAGATAGGAAGGGGGACATGGTGTACCTCACCTTTACTCTAGGATGATTCTTTTTGAGAGTGCCAAAAATGCCCTTTCCTACTACCTCTCTCTCTCTCTGTTGCTCTACATTTAGTCATAGATGGCAACAGCAAGAAAACAGCTGAGTAGTAAGAGGGTGAGCAACTCATGGTGGTTCACTGTAATCTTAGAGATGTAAACACATAACTAAAGTCATATTAAGATGGTAAGGACCCTGATAGCAATGCATACCATAGTTTTTAGTGATGAATGACATCCACATGATCAATGTGGCAGTGAGACTGGCAAAAGTGGATCAATAAACTTTCAGTCCAGAAAATCTACATAAGTTTAAAATCTACTAAACACTAACATTTGGGCCAAAAGCTATTCATCTAGCCTCACATTTAATAGGGTATTTGAATAGCACTTAGGTAGCCAGGGAGAAGCCAGAGTGAAATCATACATCCTATTCTTTGGCAATCCATCAGACTTAGAAAAATGTACCTATATTCAAAAGTGAGAAAATAGAAAAACCCACAATAGATCAACTCTTTATAAGAAAATTGATCACCTTCCTAAAATACTAAAATATGCTAAAAATATTTATTAAATGTCTATACCAGGAACTAAGACGACCATCTTTGGCCACAGAGTGCTTATATTCCAGTGGAAAATATAGAGAAAATAAATAAAAACATGATAGATAGATAGATGATAGATAGATAGATAGATAGATAGATAGATAGATAGATAGATAGATAAAAAGACAGATAGATGATAGATGATAGATATTTGATGTTATGTAAGGAGTGATACATGCTATATATAAATGAATACGGATCATAGTGCAGCAGACAGGATATACATTTACAATTTAGAAAGCATAGTGGACAGTAGGCTTCACTGAGAATAATGTTAGAGCAAAAACTGGAATGAGATAAAAGAGTGAGGTTATGTAATGTGCCTGAAATATCCATGGAGCAGGGAGTGGGCTCATGTGGGAGAGCAGGAACAGGTTAGTTCAACAAGATAATCAGGGATCAGGTTCTGCAGAACCACCATAAAAACATTGGCTTTTACTCTTAAACAAAAGAAAAGGGGGGGAGCTGACCTATAAAAATTATTTTCTTTATGCAGCAAAAAGTTTTTTGAAAAATTATTTGGCATCCTCAATGGATACCATAAGATATGACCTCTACAAGACAAGGCAAAACAGCATAAGGTAAATGGACAATTATAAATTGACATTAAAAATACTTTATTTCATCTAAAACTAATGATGTAATGTATGGGGATTAACATAACAATAAAAAATAATAATTTTTAAAAATACTTTATTAATATGTAAAAGAGTGATATAAGAAATAGTGAAGAATTTCAGGAAATTAAAATTCCACATGTGTATTACTAAAGAGCAGAACTGAAACTCTGGAGAGCAGCATCAGCAATGTGAAAGATAAACTTCACATGTTTTCTCATAATGAAGAAAAACATAGCATTGGAGTACAGAAAAAGAATTTTTGATTTAAAAATTATAACACTTCCTGAAAAGAAATTGAACAAATTAAAACAGAAGCAAATATCAAAGATTTAATTTAAGATATCTCTTCTTAGTTCCAAAACTACTTGAGCATTATTCAATGCAAATGTATTTAGCAGTACTGAATCGTACACTCAAAAATGGTTAAGATGGTAAATTTCATGTTATTTTTATTTTACCACAATTTTAAAAACTGAGCATGAAGCTTCCTATGAGCATGCTTCATGTAAGCATGGAAATTCAAAGTTCTTAGCATATAACTAAAACATCAATTTAAAAAATGACCCACAAAACAAGAAATCCTGAGGAAAAGAATTTTAAATATAAGGATTTTTTTTAAAAGATTCATATAAATACATAGGCAGAAAAAAATCAAATTAACTACAAGAAAGCAGGAATTACATAGTTCCACAGGGGAGACTAAAAGAGTCTACTCCACTGTAACAGTACATGCCGGAGGTAATGAAACTGTCTTAGTTTGATGTGATGAGTAAAGAGAATATTCTAAGAATTTTATGTCCATATTTGAGCCTTTTATGTGTGAAGATTGCAGATAGATCTTCTCAAACATGCCATCAAACATGCCAAGGCAAAGAAAATAAACCACTCCAATAAACTTTCTTTAAAAATCTTTAAACACTTGCTAAAAGATGTATTCTTCTCTCCAACACAGAAGTAAAAATTAAGTATGCAGAAATGGGGAAGTTTGGGTCTAAAATGATATGTGCCTGCTCTGTAGGACCATCAGCAACACAAGAGCCAACTCATCACGAAAGTCCTGAAAGAGTCCTCACATCAACAAACAGTATCTGATTTAATTGGGCATACTAATCAATATACAAAAACAATGCATCTTCATAAGGATGAAAACCAAATTGTTTCATTATGAATTTTAAATCTTTCATTGTGTGATTAGACACAAAATATTTATCTCAGGAAAAACTTCAGGAAAAGTTTACAGTCATACCAATCAATATCTAATCAAATATATCAGTGTTTGAAAACCAAATGTACACCTATGCCAAAATACCAAAATGATAATATGACTGTCTTTGGATGATGAAACCTGGTATGGTTTTTGCTTTCTTTCAACCTTTTGCACTATGGTGAATTTGGATTACTTTGTTTTTTACAAAAAATAAACTCTTTTCTTACAAAATGATCACAACAAATCGTGTTCCTTTTGAAAATGGAATCTAATCCAGATCTTTTAAAATCTATAGCCAGGGGTGCCTAGGTGGCTCAGTGGGTTGAACATCTGACTCTTGATTTCACCTCAAGTCATGATCTCAGGGTCATGATCTCCAGGATTATGAGATCAAGCCCCGCATCAGGCTCTGTGCTCATCAGGGAGTCTGCTTAAGACTTCCTTTCCCTCTCCCTCTGCCCCTTCTCTCACTCATGCTCTCGGTTTCTCTCTCTCTCTCTGAGTAAATAAATAAAATCTTTAAAATATAAAATAATATACAATCGATAGCCAGCACCCTTAACTACTATAGGACAATATCAATCACACATGAAAAAAGTAATCTTTAATTCCAAATGCCCATCCAGCACAAATTCTATGACTGATAGAGGAGACAAACAAAACTAATTATTATTCTCCCACTCTGCCCCAACCCTATACTATGCAAGACATTGCAAAGCATAAAAAACTGATGAAACTGAAGTTATTGCTACAGATTTCTAAAGAAGAGCAAACCTAACCACAGCCAAGCCAGTAGTGAAGACTCTACCTCAGAAAATGTCAAGCACAGTACCTTCGCTTTAGCATCCTCTGGGTCATCTCCTTTGGAAGCCAGCAGCATGAGTCGCAGGACCAGGGTAATGCCGAGAGGGAATTGTCCTCTCAGTTCAGGAACATTGGATTTAATGAGTTTTTCTATTTTGGGCAATGGAATATCAAAGAAATATACATCTCCCAGCAGGTCTTGACCTCGTCTTCCAGCACGTCCAGACATCTGGAAACAGAAGAGAATCACAAAGTAAAACTTCCCTAAATATTTTCTCCATCACAGTATAAGAATTGAGCCTTTTACATGGAGTTGTAGCAAGTAAATTGTGCATATGTCCAACCATTATATAAACTGAAACTAAAATCCAATGGTGTAGCACTTAGGAAATTTACCATGGCTAAGACAGAGCTGAGAATGAGGCATTTATCATTATTATACACTTATTTCATGCCAAAAATTGTGCTATATATTTATATCATAATATATAGATGAAACAAAGCACAAGAAGACTAGACCCTAATTACAAATTCACTTATCGCTGAACTAATTACACCAATTCTCTCCTTTCCCACTTCCTCTCCCTTGTTCCTTTCTCACACACCAGTGTGTTGCATTACAAATCACCATAAAAACTGTGCACAAATTGAGGAATACATGAGTAAGATAAAATTCTGAAATTCTACTTGTAGCAAACAAACTCTTTATAGAAGTTGTATTAGTTCTCATGTATTAAGTGCTTAGAAGGTGTTAAATTCTTTGAACTGTCTTTATACAGACCTCACAACAACAACCATATAAGGTAAATATAATCATTATCTCCATTTTATAATGTAGAAATAGGACCATGAGGGATAGAAGAAACTTGTTTGTAGTCAAACACCAGAAAATGGAGAATCCAACTCACACCCTGGCATTTTGACTCCCAAGTTTATCATCTGAAACATCATAACACATAGGGTTCTGGAGAACCCTACTATGGGATTCCCAAAGATGATATGGGAGAGGAGAGCTCATGCAGAACACAGCCCCAGGAAGAGAGATCAGAAGGACAGGGGTTGGTAAAGTGGTGGGAAATAAGAGGGGTGTTATATTGGATAGGAACAAGGCCTACAAGAATAAGAAGTAAGTGTTTAGAGAGAAAGAGAGGGGGGCATTTTGATAAAAACTTGAATATTGGCTGATACCTAAAAATGATGCTGCTAGCAGAAATATTCATCAAATATTCCTGAGCAGGGAAGCCATATGAAGACACACTGTACTGTGTATAGGACATAGCAAAGTAAGGAGAATTGAAAATCAAAAGAACCATTTTAATAATACAAGGCCAAGAATGTATGATGAGAGATAGTGAAGACAGAAATTGCAAGGCAAAATCAAATACATGTAAGAGAATAATGAAGTGGGCTTGGTAATAGATTGTGTATTGGGAGCAAAGAAGAGAGAAGTATTAACTCCAGAGTGCAAAATCATGTGCACAGGAAATGAATGAGTAAACATCCATCTAGCACCTTTGATATGTATCTTTCTTACAAATAACTTCATTTAATTCTTGCAAATGTTGTGGGGTAGTAACTGTCACCCCTATTCTGGAGATAGGAAAAAAAGGATCAGGCAGTTCAGTTGTCTCACCCAAAGTCACATATCTGGTTGGTGAGGGCCACATAATTCTGCGCTCATGTGCCTACCACTAGACTACAGCTAATCAAGAGAGTCAGGCACGAATGAATGCCAAGGTGTGCTAGCACATGAATTGCAATATATTCGTAAACTAACAGCTCACATTTTTTACCATTTTATGGCCGTACTTTCATAATGAAATAGTGAGTGTATGCATATTGCAATACCTGTCTGTAATTTAAAGCATCCAGATAGATTGAGTTTTGAGCAAAAACCACAGATTTACAAGGCATGTTGATTCCTAAAGCAAGTGTCCCAGTAGCTGTCACCACCTAGAAAGAGAATAAATCAATTCTTCATGAAAGAGCATTTCAGTAGAATGCCATATAGTTACTGAAACTCTCTGCACTTCCATTGAACCGCAGTGGGAAAGCCACAGATGCCCTATTTGATATTGGATCTCCACACTGACAAGAGTACCTGGCACATGACAGGTGTTCAGTAACTATTTCTTAATGAATGACTAAAAAAGGGAATTTCCTCATGGCAGGGTAATAATACTTTTACAAACCACCTTCTGGGATATTGCCTACTTCATCCACTACAATTTATTTGTGAAGGTTATTTCTATGGGGATAACATATCTTGTAATAAGGGCAAAACAAAGTTTCATTTTTCCCCCTTGAATTGCCTTGACAACTGACCAAAAATGGGAGTAGGGCAAACTTTAAGTTTCTTAAATGATCCAACTTTTGCTCATTCTCTCATATAATGTTGGGTATTTCCAATGGCCCTCTCTTTCTCTTTACATTGATTGTCATATATGCCATGGCTTAATGTTAATGTTTAAGTATATGGAATAATTCTCTCTAATTATTCTGTAACTGAGACCTATACATCTGTGAAAATGAAACACACCATTTATTAACTATTTTTCTAAAGTTCTTTAATAAAAACAAAAATGGGAAAAGTAAGAACATTAAATTTATACTATAAGTAGAATAAATACCTTTTTAAAAATGTGCTCTCTATAACAAAGCTATCACTATTTCCATATTGCCTTCTCTAGAGTGATCTAATTATTCATTCATTAAATCAATAGTAATTAAGCCACTACTATTTAACATATACTATTTTAGACACAAGATATGCCGATCAAAATAGGTGTGCCTCTTTTCCTCAATTTATAAGCATGTAGAAAATTTTGTCTCTAGTTATTGACCTTTTTTTTTAAAGACTGTATTTATTTATTTGAGAGATAGAGAGCTTGAGTGGAAAGGAGGGGCAGAAGGAGAGGGAGAAGCAGACTCCCTGTCAAGCAGGGAGCATGACTCAGGGCTCAATTCCAGGACCCTGGGATCAGGACCTGAGCTGAAGGCAAAATATTGAGGAAAGTTAAAAGATAATTTTTTAATCTGGATAAAAACCAAAATATATTATTAACAACTTTGCTTAGCTTTTCTCTTAACTAATAACAAGTTTTTTATTTACTTTAAAAGTCAATAATTAGAGGGGTGTCTGGGTGGCTCAGTCATTAAGCGTCTGTCTTCGGCTCAAGTCATGATCCCAGCGTCCTGGGATCAAGCCCCGCATCGGGCTCTCTTCTCAGTGAGAAGTCTGCTTCCCCCACTCCCTCTCCCTCTGTGCTCTCTCTCTCTCTCTCTCTCAAATAAATAAAATCTTTAAAAAATACTACCTAGTGTATTATCCTCTTACTCTCTCCTCTCTCCATCCCCCTGCTTTTGAGCTCTCTCTCTCTCTCTCACATACACAGATATAATATACATCATACAAAAAATTTTATATGGATAATTTAAAAAACTCAGAGGCTATTCTTAAATATTACTCAAGATCTAAACTAAGAAATTATGTTAATCCTCCATGTAGATTTATCGAGACTATCCCCATGCATCCTCATGTAAGATAATAAATAAAACATAATAAGGGTTGGTTTTCAAGCTATTTAAGGTAATCTTCCTCTTGTCCACTATGAGTGATGAGAGAGAGAGCATTTAGGAATGACTCATCTAAAAACTGCCAAAATACGCAGTGAGCCCTGAGGAAGTGATACATTCTTGCTCTTACTTCAGCTATTATACTGAGAACAGATTTGACCAAAACCTATTATAAGTGCCCTCTAAGCCCGTGAAAGAATGTTTGTAACCAAAATTATATGAACAGCTGACAAAATTCCCTAGATATTATAAATGAAAAAGAAATGGATTGTTGTTCCAAGATCATAATAGGTATACTTCATTACAGAAATATCTGTATCTGTTTAGGGAATATTTTAATTCTTGAAAAAGACATAAACTACATGATAAACTTCAAACCCCCTCCCTCAATTAAATGAGATGGAAGGATATGCAGTGATATCATGAGTTGTAAAAAAAAATAAATAAAAGATAAAATAATAAAATAATGAATAAAAATATAATTAGATGAGAAAAAAGTTACTATTTTCTCCTTTCACGGACATTCACTTTCATACAGACACAGCTTCAACTTTTAGAATGAAAAAATTTACCTACCCTAATAAAACCTTTCCTAAAAAGAATCTCAACTAACTGCTTTTCTTTGAAGTTTAAAGAGCTGTGATGATATCCAATACCCCTTCTTGCCAAAGCCTTCAGTTCTGCACCCTTTCTTGTGAATTTTACTCGATCAAACACCATCTGCAAAGTCTGAAAGAAACAACAGTATTAGGGATTTTGATCATTTTAAGTTTAATTTAAATCAGAATAAAATATTTAAAGAAAGTAGCAGTCATACTGTGTAATAGTTTGACTAAACAAAGCAACTACTTGAAATTGACTTTACATGAGTACAAAGAAAAATTTATGGCAGCAACAGTAACTATAGGAAATATTCCCAAATTTTTGAACAGACTGTCTCTCACTGTTTCACCCCACTTCAGGGGTGAATAGTACTGACAAAACAGTAGACAAAACACCCAGAGGAGGTGTGAGTGTATTACCTGCTCTTGCCTGAGGGAAGTCAGTTCTCTACTGGAGCCTTACAAGTTCTCCCTAGGGACAGAGACAGAGAGAGAGAGAGAGAGAGAGAGAGAGAGAGAGAGAGACTTCTCCAGGAAGGCAGAGTGGGCTCCTTACCCCATATCGTCTGGGAGTGCTTACTTCTCACTGTAAATCAGTCACAAATGGCCTAAAAAATAACCATTCCCTAGGGGGGAAATCCACTTGTGTAGAGAGTTATACGTACAAAAACAAACACTGCTTATGAGAGGGAGAAAAAAAAGAAAGAAAAAAAACCCCTAAGCATCCAAAAGCAAAAGACACTTCGGTTGTGTAGTCATCCACGCAATGGAATATTGAGGAGCCATTCAAATGATGATATAAATTCATAGTTATTAAAAAGGAAGAAACTATGAAGTTTACAAAAAAAAAAAAATACAATAGAACTGTGTGTGAGTGTGTGTGTGTGTGTGTGTAGTCACAAATGAAAAACATATAAAGGGTTCATCCAGAAGGGCAGTGTTTACTTCTGATTGATGACATTGTTTTTATTGTTACTAATTTGTATTTTCAAATTCATCTACCATAAGCATGAATTGTTTGCCTTAAAAAAAATTTACAGAAAAAATGGCATAGCGCTTTTATATTTCAATGTCTTTTGGTAGAATGTTTTAACTATAATATAGACAGCTTCTGATTTTGACAAATTCTGTGTACATTATTTAAGTGGTATTGAACCACATGTACCCAAATATTCAAATGAGGTGTATGGGATTTAAGTCTAGAATTCAGGCTGTGAAAAAGCCTTTCTGTGAAAGAAAAAATAATAAAAGGACAGACCCTCTCAGGAGTTAATTGTTAACAAGCAAGAGATAACCTATAAAACTTTTCCTGTCCTTTTTAGACATGCTCTGCAGAGCCCTCAAGACTTATGTGTAAGTAGAAGGTCACAGAGAGAGAATTCTATTCTATTAGAGATTGCATTTAGTTATTACATTCAGCACTGTCTATAACTGAGAAATAATGGTTGATGAGTGAAGTCATTTCCTGGAGGAGTATTTTATTCCAAGCACTGACCTCAGTGTCTATAGCTTTTTGATTAGCATATGTGCACTCCTGAGGGATTTCCAGGTTCTTCTCTAAAGTCTTGAGTAGATTATTATGTTCAGCTTCATGTATTAGGATTTGATCCATTTTTCTGGGATTTTTCTGGCTTTTTTCATCTCTGTTTGTAAAAATAAATTTTAAATAATGAATAGTCAGATTTGGCTATCATCATGAGCCCAAGACTTCCTAGATCCCCTCATCACCCAGACATTCACTCCTATATACATCTGTACTATTTTGACTCAGACTTCCTCTTCTAATGCTCTTCCTCATTAGCCTCTGGGACTTGGGGTCCTTCAGTAAACATTTCCCTATGTACCCATATCTTCCCTGAATGTTCCCTCCCCTCCTTGCTGCAAGTAGCCTTCTTACCAAATCCAGTTCTCCCGACATGACCTTGTTTCCCCTTGCTAAAGTGATAATCATTTTCTCTTTTTCAGCCTTTAGGACACCAGGCTTGGAGGTAAGGTAAGTGTCCCCCCCTTGTTCCACATTGCCAATTTCAGGCCATTGTCCTTTCCTTGTGGTAGAGGCTACAACAGCTCTGAGCTTGGTTGCTAAGGAAGGGCTCTCAGCTACACTGTTCCCTGGAGAATTGTCCTCAACCTACAAGAGCTTCCTAGAAATGCCTGTGAGGTTACAACCTCTCTTGGGAGAGAGGAAGAAGCCTAAGGCCAGTAACTAATATGAGGTACAAAAATCAGCCACCTGGACCCAAGCTGGGACAATTCGTGATGCTCCCAGATCTCTCTATTGGACGAGGCTTAGGCATGCACATCCATGCATATTTTCTTTACTTTCTCCCCCTCCCCTTTTATTTTTGCTTCCTTCACTTTCCCACAGGTCCCTCATAAGCACAACCTTTCAATAAATCACCAACACAGATATCCCCATCTCAGAGGGTGCTAGTAAGGAATCTTACCTCAGACATGGTTGCATAAACCCTGGCTATGTCATCAGACCATATTATCCATTATCCCTCAATGTAACGGCCTTTTATAGATACCCAGATCACTTACCCTTTCTTTAATTTTTTTCACTTTGTCTCTTAGCTGTGAATTTAAGACAACTCCAAATATGAGAAGTATCTCATCGCTAAGAGTTCCCACCTCCAACTACCATTACCCTTAATTCAAGGGAGAATGATATGACCATGGAAAGGCTTGGCCCTAATGTTTGCAAAGCAGGGGGCAGGGTACTAATGGAGGCCCACATATTGTTGTTTAACTATAAGTTTTGAATCAAGGTAACAAACTGCCAAATAAAATATATTCTCTCCTTCTACCTTAATAAATATAGCTCCATAATAATGTGGAATTTAAAAGGGTGAGAATGAGGGGCACCTGGGTGGCTCAGTCGTTAAGCGTCTGCCTTCAGCTCAGGTCATGATCCCAGGGTCCTGGGATAGAGCCCCGCATCGGGCTCCCTGCTCTGCAGGGAAGCCTGCTTCTCCCTCTCCTACTCCCCCTGCTTGTGTTCCCTCTCTCGCTGTCTCTCTCTCTGTTAAATAAATAAATAAAATATTTTATAAATAAATAAATAAATAAATAAAAGGGTGAGAATGAGCTCCGGGTGGCCACGCCTCTTAATATCCACTGACTCCTAACATTATAGGAACAGATGCAGATAGAAGAGGGTCAGAGTGGTACTCTCCAAAACACAGGGCCCCCTCTTACTCTCCATATAATGATGGTACTGAACAAGGTATTAAAACATCTTTTATATTTTTATAGTTTGAATTGTTGGTCACTAATCCAATTTGAAATGATGCCCTGAAGAAAAGTTGTCTAAAGATCAGTTACTGAAAAGGCTCATACTTCCTATGCTGTCCCTATCTGGGCTCTTCACCTCCCACTACTTCCAAGGAAACAGCACAACAGGCAGAGGGAAGATAAGACGAAAGGTCAGCAGCAAATTATACCTTGCTCTAAAATTTGAGAAATCTGAATCAGAGAAGCTCTGAAAACTGTGTCTACTTTGAAGAAATATCTGAGTTTTTTGATTGCTCAGATTCATTTAAAATATTTATGAAATGACTATTACCTACCAAACAATGTGCTGAGCACTGCAGATAAAAAGAGGAAAATACTAATAATGTAGAAAAAAGAAAGACAAATGAAAATAACAATAATGCATTATAATAACTGATCTACTAAATACTGAAAATGTAACAAGGACACAGGAAAAAAAAAAAGAGTACTAAATTTAACTGGGAATTACAGCAAGATTCAGAGAAGAGATAGCAAAATTACGAGTATAAGCTTTGGGGGCAATCAGAAAGGAGTGTACCTAAGGCAGATGGATCAGATCATGGAAAAACATAGAGGTAGAAGAACAGGTCATGTAAGGAGGACCATAAATGTTGATTATTATTAGAAGGGAGTGGTAGGAAGTAAAACTGGAAAAGTTAGGGCAAACCCCAAAACCTATTGACATACCAACAACATCCAAAAAATTTAGACTTTATCATCAAAGCAAGGAAGAAGGAAGAAAGAACATTGAACATTGGATAATTTAATTAATTTGAATGTTAGCAAGACCAATTGTTAGCTACACTGGAGAGTAGGGAACCCTAAGGTTCTGGAGTCTAAAAAAAGACCCTTGCAATCATTCAAGGAAGACATAATAAGCATCTACATCAGGCAGCAAATAAGATAGAATAATAGGGAAACAATAAACATCTTGAAGTAGAGTTGTCAGGATTAGACATGAGAACAAGGAAGAGGAGTCAAAAGCAAAGTTCTATCAAGCATAAAACTGGCATTTCAATCAATTCTCAAATTCATTCGATGTTCACGTATGTGACTGTGATGATAAATCAGTGACACCTCCATATTGTGACCCAAGACAACGTGTTTTGACTTTGTTCTGAGGACTGACAGAGAGTTGGAGTCACATATGCTTATTTTGAGGGATGATTATGTCAGGTACATAATCCACCAATACCGATAAGCTGTGGTCCTGCCTCTCTGAAGTCCTAAATGAGACTCATCTATGCAACTAAAGAATATGTATATAAATATTATGACCACTTATCTTTATCCCATTCTCCCACCCAAATTTACACAATTTGCAAATAAGTTCAAGCAATAACTAGAACTTCTTTGTAGCACATTCAATCTATGTTTCCGATTCAACTTGTGGAGTATTTTAATCCTTTAACCACTAATTTGTTTAATTAAATACTTACATTGTCTTTTGTTTCTCAATGGATTTTTTAACTTTTCGAAGTTTGTTAGTCATGTCATAGGCTTCTTTATCAGCTTTAGGAGGTCTTTGTCTCTTTTGCTTTTGCTCCAGGAAACTTCTCACACATATAGCTGTTTGTTCTACATCTCTTAAGTTGAATCTACAAGCAAATGAAAAGACCACTTGCCTTGAAAACAGTGTCATAAATAAAATTCAAATCATATTTCCATCTACTGTTAACATCCTGACATATACCTGTTGAGATTTTAATATCCATCTTTCTGAGTTTTATCCTGAATAGGCATACAAGGTATTCTGGGTCAGCAGATTCCTTATTAACTACATTATAGTAAACAGTAAGTTCCTCTCCTTGTTGAGACCTTACCCCTGAGGCAACAATGAGAGCCCATGAAAATTTTTCCTGTAAGAGTAGGTAAAATACTCCACAGGTAATGGACAGAGAACAATGGATTTTCTCTATTTATATACAGAAAAGGGATTGCCCCCCCAAAACAAGATGAGAAAAAAAAGTTTAAAAACAAAAAAGAATTATGCTCTTTTATTGGTATTGTTGATGTAGTTGCTCTTGTATTTAATTCCACTCAAATTTAGGCCTTTCTCCTAATAGAATCAAAGGCCCTTAGCATTATATAAATATGTGTAAGTTCAGATTACACAAATCTTTTGTGAATTTTAGAGACTCCTTTGGTTTTTTTCCATTTTTATTGAAATATAATTGACATGTAACATTGTGTAAGTTTAAGGTGTACAGCATGATGATATGATACATCTGCATATCACAAAGTGATTACCATAATAAGGTCAGTTAACACATCTATCACCTCTGGTGGCTGCCTTTTGTGTTAGTCTGAAAAGATTTAAGATCTACTCTTTTAGCAACATTGAAGTATACAATACAGTATTATTAGCTATAGTCAACATGCTATACATTATATCCCCAGAACTTATTCATCTTATAACAGGAAGTTTGTACCCTTTGACCAACATCTCTCCATTTCTCTCACTCCTACCCCCCTGAGAACCTGGCAACCACCAATCTACCCTCTGTTTCTATGAGTTCAGCTTTTTTAGATTCTATATATGTAAGTGAGATCATACAGTAAAATTTTGCTCTTAGGCAGGAATGGTATACTGATGAAGTAAGGATTAAATAAATGGCAGTCTATGACACATGGCAAGAAATTTTATATAGTAGACAATAAAAAAATAAAGTTAGTAAACACTTAAACATGCTATTTTTCAGACACTAAGTATCATAAATCTATTAATCCATTTTGTACTCACAATCACCCTATGAGGAAAGCACCATTATTTTCCCAATATCATAGATGAGAAAATGGATATATAAAGAGATTAAGTGATCTGTCCAGGATTCCACAGCTTGTATGTGGAGAGTCTGGCCTCCAAAGCCCATGTTCTTAGTCATGAAATCATGTTACTTCTTTTTTTATTTTAATGCAATTTACTTCATCTAGGTGTACATTCTGTATGAAATGGCATCATTTTCATCATAGAACCTCATGTTTTAAAATCTAGATCACTTGGGGGAGGGAGGAGCAAGATGGCGGAGGAGTAGGAGACCTAAATTTCCTCTGGTTCCAGGAATTCAGCTACATAGGGATCAAACCATTCTGAACACCTACGAACTCAACAGGAGATCGAAGAAAAGAAAAGTAACAACTCTCTGAACAGAAAAGCGACCACTCTCTGGAAGGTAGGACGAAAGGAGAAGTGAATCCAAAGTGATATTCAGGAAGATAGACGGCAGGGGAGGGGGCCTCAGTCAGCCACTACCAGCAAGTGATAGAGCCACGGAGCATAAAATCAGAACTTTTAGAAGTCGGCTTCGCTGAGGGACATGGCTCCAGTGGCTAAAGGGGGGATGGAACCCTCACTGAGACAGTGTGGTCTCAGGACCCTCAGGGTCACAGAAAGACCAGGGGTGCCTGAGTGCGGCAGAGCTCCCAGGTATCAGAGCGGGGAAGCAGCTGCAAAGAAAGAGCAGAGGAGTGGGCTCTCAGCTCGGGGCTGCCATAAACCGTGATCCGCGGCACAGTCAGGCCACTGCTCCTCCAGCAGGGACACAACAAGCTGCAGATCCGGGGAGACTCCCCTTCCTCCCCGGGGAACAGTGGTGTGGGAGTGCACCACAGGGATCTGCTGGGTTTGGAGACTCCACACGGGCGTCGGGTACCAAAAATAGAAACGCTTGGTAGCAGGCCGGGTGAGCATGGAGTTCAGCCAGAGACCAGGGAGATGGGAGTGATTGACTGCTTTTCTCTGGGGGCTCACTGAGGAGTGGGGCCCTGAGTTCTCAGCTCCTCCGGGGTGGAGATTAGGAAGCCTCCATTTCACTCTCATCCTCCAAAGCTGTATAGAAAGCTTACAGGGAACAAAAGCTAGGGAGAGCTAACCAAGCCGATTGCTTAGCTCAGACCCGCAAGGGCAGGGCAATTCCGCCTCCAGCAAAGACATTTGGGAACCATGGCAACAGGCCCCTCCCCCAGAAGATCGGCAAAAACAGCCAGCCAAGACCAAGTTTACCGATCATGAAAACGGCAGAACTCCAGCGCTAAGGAAATACTGCACATAGAATTCACGGCTTTTTTCCCATGATTCTTTAGTCTTTCAAAGTTTTTTTCTTTAACTTTCTTTTTCTTTTTCTTTTTTTTTGAATTTTTCTTTTTCCCTTTTTCAACCAACATCTTATCAGTCCCTTTTTTAAAAATCTTTTTTATTTTTCATTTTTAGAGTCATATTCTATCCCTTCATAGTAGTTAACCTTATTTTTGGTGTATATATATATATGGTTCTCTCTTTAAATTTTTGGGATACAGTTTCTTCTAACAGACCAAAATATACCTTAAATCTCTAATGTATGGCTTTGTTCTAGTCACCTGCCTGATCACATTCTCTTCCTTTTTCTTTTTTTAAATCCTCTTCTTTCTTTTTTCAACCAACTTCTTATCAATTCCTTTTATAAAGTCTTTTACAATTTTCATCTTTACAGTCATATTCCATCCCTTCATTGTATTTACCCTATTTTTCTACATATATAGGTTTTTCTTTCTTTAAAATTTTGGGAGGCACTTTCTTCTAACAATCCAAAATATGCCCAAAATCTAGTGTGTGGCACTGATCTATGCACCAAACTGAACATATTTGATCATATTCTGTTTTTTTTTGGGGGGGGGGGGTTGTTTGTTTGTTTTATCTTTTTCTTTTTCTTTTTTCTTTCTTTCCCTTTCCTTTCCCCCGGTTACAGGTCTCTTCCGATTTGTTTAGTGTATATTTTTCTGGGGCCATTGTTACCCTGTTAGCATTTTGTTCTCTCATTCATCTATTCTCCTCTGGACAAAATGACAAGATGGAAAAAATCACCTCAAAAGAAAGAACAAGAGGCACTAATGACTGCCAGGGACCTAATCAATATGGACATTAGTAAGATGTCGGAACTAGAGTTCAGAATGACAATTTTAAAGATACTAGCTGGGCTTGAAAAAAGCGTGGAAGATATTAAAGAAACTCTTTCTGGAGAAATAAAAGAACTAAAATCTACCAAGTTGAAATCAAAAAGGCTATTAATGAGGTGCAATCAAAAATGGAAGCTCTAACTGCTAGGATAAATGAGGCAGAAGAGAGAATTGGTGATATAGAAGACCAAATGATGGAAAATAAAGAAGCTGAGAAAAAGAGAGAGATAAACAACTACTGGATCATGAGGGCAGAATTCGAGAGATAAATGAAACCATAAGATGAAACAATATTAGAATAATTGGGATCCCAGAAGAAGAAGAAAGAGAGAGAGGGGCAGAAGGTATATTGGAGTAAATTATAGCAAAGAACTTCCCTAATTTGGGGAAGGAAACAGGCATCAAAATCCAGGAGGCACAGAGAATCCCCCCTCAAAATCAATAAAAATAGGTCAACACCCCAACATCTAATAGTAAAACTTACAAGTCTCAGAGACAAAGAGAAAAATCCTGAAAGCAGCTCGGGACAAAAAGTCTGTAACCTACAATGGTAGAAACATTAGATTGGCAACAGACCTATCCACAGAGACCTGGCAGGCCAGAAAGGACTGGCAGGATATATTCAGAGCACTAAATGAGAAAAATATGCAGCCAAGAATACTATATCTAGCTAGGCTGCTATTGAAAATTGAAGGAGAGATAAAAAGCTTCCAGGACAAACAAAAACTAAAGAAATTTGCAAACATGAAACCAGCCTTACAAGAAATCTTGAAAGGGGTCCTCTAAGCAAAGAGAGAGCCTAAAAGTAACATAGACCAGAAAGGAACAGAGACCATATACAGTAACAGTCACCTTACAGGCAATACAATGACACTAAATTCATATCTTTCCATAGTTACCCTGAATGTAAATGGGCTAAATGCCCCAATCAAAATACACAGGGTAACAGATTGGATAAAAAAACAAGACTCATCGATATGCTGTGTGCAAGAGATTCATTTTAGACCCAAAGACACCTCCAGATTGAAAGTGAGGGGGTGGAAAACCATTTCCCATGCTAATGGACACCAAAAGAAGGCTGGGGTGGCAATCCTTATATCAGACAAATTAGATTTGTCTAAAGACTATAAATGAGGAAGGACACTATATCCTAATTAAAGGGTCTATCCAACAAAAAGATCCAACAATTGTAAATATCTATGCCCCTAAATGGGAGCAGCCAATTATATAAGGCAATTAATAACAAAAGCAAAGAAACACATTGACAACAATACAATAATAGTGGGGGACTTTAACACCCCCCTCACTGAAATGGACAGATCATCTAAGCAAAAGATCAACAAGGAAATAAAGACTTTAAATGACACACTGGACCAAATGGACTTCACAGATCTCTTCAGAACATTCCATCCCAAAGCAACGGAATACACATTCTTCTCTAGTGCCCATGGAACATTCTCCAGAATAGATCACATCCTAGGTCACAAATCAGGTCTCAACCAGTATCAAAAGATTGAGATCATTCCCTGCGTATCTTCAGACCACAGTGCTTTGAAACTAGAACTCAATCACAAAAGGAAAGTCGGAAAGAACTCAAATACATGGAGGCTAAAGAGCACCCTACTAAAGAATGAATGGGTCAACCAGGAAATTAAAGAAGAATTAA